CACAGCACTTGCTCCGAAGGAGTTTCATTTATCTTTGTCATTTCTGCTAAATGTCCATCGCCCTCAGGACAATGCCAGAGTCTTCTTTTGCTCTTCACTGTATCTCTAGAGTCTAGCTGATCCTCATTCACTGGACGCCTTGAAATAGACACTGGTTGATGGACTTTACTCTGTTTTGGGCAGTTAAGACTGACTGCCCCTTGAATGCCCTCCTCAGCTCTGAGTCTAGCAGCCTATAACAGAATATTCTGGAACACTGCAACAATTCACTTGCATGGAGTGCAGAGTCATAACCATCACCTGAGGGACAGAGAACCAATGGGAGACAAGTGAACAAGGGCTCTAAGAGAAAATCCCTGGGCTCAACCTTGGCTCTAACACCTCCTAAACCTCTCGGAGTCTCCCTTTCCCTGTTCATACAAAGGGATCACATGTTGGGAGCCTCAGGGGTTTGCTTTGAGGATTAAATTTGACCTCCTATGTATATCATATGGCATTAATCCCTGAGACATATTAAGTGTTCTTCTAGTCATAGTTACCAAAGTTATAGTGATCGTAGCATTTAGATATGTTCCGTTCTTTGCTTTTATAAACCATAATTCAAGAAACATCCTTGAATATATACTTTTAAGAACATGCGTGATTATCTTCTTAGAATAAATTTCTAAAAGACAAATTTCTGTGTCAAAATGTAAGCACATTTAAATTGTTGAGACATTTTTCAAAAGCATCCTTTACATATTTTGTACCAGTTTTCAACCCCATCAATCTTTATAACAGCGTATTCTCCCCACCCTCTGGTTGATACTCTCATCTCTTACTTTCATCTTTGCCAAGCTGGTAGATTGTAATTTTTATTCCCATTTCTTATTCTGTGCTCTCTTTTTTTGGCATTTATTTATCTAATATATTTGTTCGATATTGTCATTTCTTTTTTTCCAAATTGTTTTCTAATATTCTTTAATTATTTTTTGATTGAGTTGTAGTTATTTTAAAATACTGAATTTAGAAAGAAGAAACAGCAGCCCCAGCATCAGGAACTGGTCTGACACTTACAGCGGGGCCTCAGTGTGGTCAGAAGCCAGCCTGATACTCACAGCTGGACCATGTTATTCTCCTGTTGGACATTGGTCACCTTACATAACATCAACATTAGACAAGGACACTCTGAGAACATGTAAAAGTGAGACAAAATGAGACCACTACAGCACGTTGTCTTAGCACAGACAAAAACAAGGCACTGTGCAACTGACAAAATGCCAAACATCTCCCCGTGCTGGCTCATATGAGCGACTGCTGCTTCTTTCCAGTCACAGCCTTGTCCTAGCTCTAGTCGGGCCTGTCAACAGATAAGCTTTATTGAGATGCCCAATCACAGAATTGGCCCCACTTCCAGACAACACCCAACCTGGAGTGAGCCTCTGTTTCTATAGACCCTCCCCCAAATCACCCAACCAAAGCCCAAATCCTATAAAGGTTCTAACTCCTTCACACTGAGATGCCCACTGGTCCCTGATGCTGTGTGTTCTCCCTCACAGCAACAAGTAATAAGCCCAACTTGGCTGCCCACAGATGTGCTCCTGGTGGTCTTTGGCTGAATAACATTGAGGCATGTTATTACCCCTTTGTCTGTTAAAATCTTTTACTTGTATTTGATTATGGGCATGTGTTTGTATGTTGTGAGTGTGTGGTTCACACAGAGAAGTTTTATGTTTTTCTCTATGGTTTTTCATCTTTGGGTCATGCTTAGAGAATTCTCTATTCCACAACTGTAAAAACTTAATGTATATTTTCCTCTAGGAGAGCGGTCCAAGGGTGAAGGGAAATGGAACTGTTTGAACTTTGGGGGAAAGCATGGGAAGGAGCAGTAGGTGAAGAATTCTAAGGTGGTGGCATTCTAAGGTTGACATCTTCTGCTCTATGATTTTCCAAGTATGTACAGGGCCTGCAAGGGAGTCGATATACGTTGTGTTCAATAAATCTTTTCTCTGGGGCTAAGAGAAAACATACGTGCCTGCTTATTTACCCGGTTAATGAAAACACCACCAAGAGTCCCAATGTAATATACACAAGGATGAGCTCCAGTGACGGGCATCTTTGAATACTTACAACATGGATTTGATAAATCATATTTTGGTTAATGTCTATATGCTCTATTTTTAAAATACAAATTAATTCAACTTCTTGGGCTTGCTGTATTTTAAGGATATGTCTAAGACCCACATGGACAAATCCATGACCTCCACAGGAAGATAATTTTAATATACATCAACCTGTGAGTCACACAGTATCTCTGTTGGGGGAGGAGACTGAAAACTAAGAACATTCTAGATATGCACTGTCCAATATGGCAGCTACTAGCCATATATGGTTATTTAAATTAAAGCAAATAAAACTAAAATTGCAACTGCTCAGCACAGCGGCCATACTTCAAGTGCTCAATAGCCACATGTTGCTTCTGACTTCCATATGAGACAGTGTAGATAGAGAACAATTCCCTCATCACAGTACATTCTATTGGACGGTACTGCTCTTCATACTTTGTAGGCCTCAAGTCAGATGCATGAGACCCATGTAAAAGGAAAGGCCCAATATAATGTCTCTTAGAGATATGTCAGATTTCTGTCTGAGATATGAATACATCATAAGCTGATATACAGCGAAACCAACATAGGTCATCAGTGGGTCTGGTGCCTTCAGGCACAAACTGTTCCTAGTTCCAAAGGGAAACACCTGTCCCTCCACCTCACTTCCCAGACTGAGGACACATTCTGGCATCAAACTTCTAGGGGGTGAGTTCTCTTCTAACAGAGAATGGGAGCAATGCTCTAAGCTAAATTTTGGGAGGCAGGGAGTCCAACTCAGGGAGAGGGATTCTGGGAAATGAAGGGGAGGCAAAGGTGGAGACCCATTGGGAGACTCTCCCCAGTTTATTTAGAACAGCAGTTCTCCAAGTGTGCTCTGTGGAACATTTGCAGTCCCTGAGATCCTTTCATGGATCCATGAGTCAAAACTCTTCATATTGTTACTAGACATCATCTGCCTTCTCACTATGTTGACATTTGCTGAGGTAAAACTTAGTACGAACGGAGGCCATGGTGCCAAACTGCAACAGTAGTTACCTCCACCACCTCTTACTTGCAGAAAAAACAAAACACTTTCACTTTAAAATGCCCTGAAGCAGTAAAAATTATCTTTACCAAATCATTATCCTTAAATCTACATTTTAAAAACATCTTATATGATGATGTGGGAAGTACACATGAAGCCTATCTGCCACATTCCAACATACTATGTCCCTAGGAGAATAATTTGAGTGAACTCAGCTAGCCTCTTTTCTATGGAATACCCCTTTACTTGAAAGAATGAATGACAGAAACTACGATTAGACTTGATTATTTGTCATACACTTTTTCAAAATGAATGTGAGCTTCTCCCTTCAAGAAAATCCACTGACAGTACTTATTGCCTTGATAAAAAGGAAGCTCTCAAGAGAAAACCAGAATTTCGGAAAACTTGTAGCCATCAAGTAAGCTTGACAGCTTCCCAGTACTGACAGACTTTCCCGTTGAGATCTGTGGTCATATTAAGAAATGTGATATTTTGATATTTTGTAGCTAAATGTGTCAATAAGAGATCTATATAACTAGTGAAACAATGCATTACTTTAAATCATACATTAGAATAAGAGCCATTCAATATGTAAAATAGCCCTGGGGATTTTAATGTAACAGAATAGGAAACATTCAATGATACTGTTTCAGGTTCCACTTTGCAAATTACCATTGAGAAACTACCACTTGTGTAGTTTTATTTTAGTATCAGAGTGGAATATTCACAATTATCTGAACAAGTTATTAAAAATACTACTCCTAGATTTCTAAAAAAAATAAAAATAGAAATACCTTATGACCCAGCCATCCCACTACTGGGTATCTACCCACAGAACTTGAAATCAGCTATTCCAAAAGTCCCATGCACCCTTATGTTCATTGCAGCATTATTTACAATAGCCAAGATGTGGAAGCAACCTAAATGCCCACCAATTGATGATTGGATAAAGAAGATATGGTATATATATACAATGGAATACTACTCAGCCATGAAAAAGGATAAAATCGTCCCATTCACAGCAACATGGATGGACCTTGAGGGCATTATGTTAAGTGAAATAAGCCAGACAGACAAAGACGAACTCTGTATGACTCCACTCACAGGTGGAAGTTAAACATAGAGACAAATAGAATTGATTGGTGGTTACCAGGGGAAAGGGGGGGGTGGGGGGAGGGCACAAGGGTCAAGTGGTGCATCTACAACATGACTAACAATGTACAAATGAAATTTCACAAGGTTGTAAACTATCATAATCTTAATAAAAAGTTTTAAAAAAGCAAATAAGATACTACTCCTACACAGTTGTGTGAGGCTGCACTTTTTTTCATATACTTCAAACAAAATAACAGATTAAATGCAGAGCAAATATGAAGATCCAGTGGTCTTCTAATGAGACAGACAAGAAAGAGACTTGCAAAAATGTAAAATGTAAAAAGATCCACTCTTCTCATTACCTTGTCTATTTTGGGAAATAGTTATTTTTCATAAAACACATTTCTGTTAACTTGCAAGGGCTTAAGAATGTTATTCTAAAGAAATTAATAAAAGTATTGAAAAATGTTTATTCCTAGCGTGGTAAATATTGATAGATACAACCAACATAAACAAATTATCCTTGGGGCCCTCGCTAATTTGAAGACTGTGTGGATATCCTGAAACCAAAGTGCTGAGAATCGCTGACTCAGCCCCTGGGCCAGGACTCAGGGAGACGGTGTGACAAAGAGCTCTCGGTGCAGGAGGAGAGGGGTCAGGGCAAAATCCCAGGTCCCCAGACGTGGCTCTCAGGGTCTCAGGCCCGAGGGCGGAGTCTGGGGCGGAGCTCAGTGTTGGGGAGTCCCCGTCTCCTTGAGTTTGACTTCTCCCTCTCACAACCTGTGTCGGGTCCTCCAGCCTGGAGAGTCATGACGCGAGCCCAGTTCTCACTCCCATTGGGTGTGCGGTTTCTAGAGAAGCCAATCAGCGTCTCCGCTGCTCCGGGTTATAAAGTCGCCACCACCGTGGGGAACTCAGATTCTCCCCAAACCGCGATGATGTGGGTCATGGAGCCTCCAGCCTTCCTCCTCCTGCTGCTCTCGGGGGCCCTGACCCTGACCGAGACCTGGGCAGGTGAGTGCCGGGTCGGGAGGAAACGGCCTCTGCGGGGGGCGGAGCGAGGGGACCGCGCCGCGGGGGCGCAGGACCCCCGGGAAAGGCGCATCTCCGCGGACCCAGCCCCAGACCCGCCCAACGCGCCCACCTGGGCCCCGCCGCCTCCTGGCCCCTCTCCTTCCCTCCCCGGTCTCCCGCCCTCTCCTCTCACCTACTCGGGTCTCCCGCGCTTCTCCGTCCGCTGCCCCTTTTCCGTCTCACGACACCATAGCCCCCTCCCCCTCCCGGCCCCATCACCCTCGGACCCGGGACCCGCGCCGGGAGGAGGGTCGGCCGGGTCTCAGCCCCTCCCCGCCCCCAGGCTCCCACTCCATGAGGTATTTCAGCACCGGCGTGTCCCGGCCCGGCCGCGGGGAGCCCCGCTTCATCGCCGTCGGCTACGTGGACGACACGCAGTTCGTGCGGTTCGACAGCGACGCCGCGAGTCCGAGGATGGAGCCGCGGGCGCCGTGGGCGAAGCAGGAGGGGCCGCAGTATTGGGAAGAGCAGACGCGGACCGCCAAGGAAGCCGCACAGGCTTTCCGAGTGAACCTGAACAACCTGCGCGGCTACTACAACCAGAGCGAGGCCGGTGAGCGACGCGGGCCCGGGTCCAGGTCCCGACCCCCATCCCCACGGACGGGCCGGGGTCTCCCCGAGTCTCCGGGTCCGAGACTCACCCCGAGGCTGCGGGACCCGCCCGACCCCCGACCCGGGAAGAGCCGGCGGGGACTTTTCCGGGGTTCATTTTCAGTTTAGGTTTAATCGCTGCGGGGGACGGAGTGGGGGCGGGGCCGAGTGGTCTGGGCTGACCTCGGGGCGGGGTCAGGGTCTCACACCATCCAGGTTATGTATGGTTGCGACGTGGGGCCACACGGGCGCCTCCTCCGCGGGTACAGTCAGTACGCCTACGACGGCGCCGATTACCTCGCCCTGAACGAGGACCTGCGCTCCTAGACCGCGGCGGACACGGCGGCTCAGATCTCCCGGCGCAAGTTGGAGGCGGCCGGAGTGGAGGAGCGCTGGAGGAACTACCTGGATGGGAAGTGCGTGGAGTGGCTCCGCAGACACCTGGAGATCGGGAACGAGACGCTGCAGCGCGCGGGTACGAGGGGCCGCGGGGCCTCCTGATCTCCCCTCCAAGCTGGTTTCCTACAAAGAGGGGAAATGGGATCGGTGTCAGAATATCCTTCCTCACAAAAGAAAGGAATCCACCCAGGTTTTCATGTTCTGTACTAAACACTTACCCAGAGAGCACGGCCTTGCCTAAAGGACAGTGAAGGAATCCAGTTTCTGCAGGAAGAGGAGGTGAGACCATGCCTGAAATCACCGTCGGTGGTTCCCTTTGACCCTGGCAGCCACCTTGTGAACCATGACTCTCTCTCTCAAGGCCTTGTTCCCTACCTGAGAACATCTTTGCGACTTTGACTCCGGTTTTTCTGAGTCATTCACCCTCCACCCAGGTCAGGAGCAGAAGTCTGTGTTCTCTTCTTTGGAGACCTGGAGTCTCCTACCCTGCACATTCACGTGGATTCTAGAACTTTCCAGGGGATAGGAGATTATCCCAGATACCCAAGTCCTGGCTGGTCACTGGGTTTTGTTCTTCCTCCTTCCAAACCAATTGTCCTGTCCGTTCTCAGGATGGTCACATGAGTGCTGCTTTGGTGGCCCATGGAGGTAACTAAAAGTGTGAATTTTCTGAATCTTCCTCCCCAGAAGCCCCAAAGACACACGTGACCCACCACCGCATCTCCGACCATGAGGTCACCCTGAGGTGCTGGGCCTTGGGCTTCTACCCTGCGGAGATCACCCTGACCTGGCAGCGTGATGGGGAGGACCTGACCCAGGACACGGAGTTTGTGGAGACCAGGCCTGCAGGGGACGGGACCTTCCAGAAGTGGGCGGCAGTGGTGGTGCCTTCTGGGGAGGAGCAGAGATACACGTGCCATGTGCAGCACAAGGGGCTGCCTGAGCCCGTCACCCTGAGATGGGGTAAGGAGGAGGATGACGGGGCGCCTCTTCTTAGGGAAAATGAAGCCCTTTTGGAGACCTTGAATGTCAGGACTCAAGCCTGAGGTCAGAGCCCCTCACCCTCCCTTCTCTTTGCAGAGCCACCTTCTCAGCCCACAATCCCCTCGGTGGGCCTCATTGTCGGCCTGGTTCTCCTTGGAGCTGTGGTCACTGGCGCTGTGGTGTGGAGGAAGAAGTGCTCAGGTAGAGAAAGCGGTGAGGATTGGAGTTTTCTTGTCCCCCTGGGGGGTTTCAAGCCCCAGGTGGAACTTGCCCTGTGTTGTTCATGGGGAGTCCCCTCCACACACATGTGCTCGCCACTCTGGAGCTGATTGCTGACCCTCTTATTAAAGCACCTGTGAAAATGAAATACAGATTTCTTCACCTTGATAGTTTTGGTGCTGGAGACCTGATTCCCATGAGTCGAAGGTCAGAGGGGAAGGTCCTTGATGAGGACTGGGCTCCGGTTGGTCCAGTCCCCACACATCTCCTTTCTTCATGTTTCTCAATCCTTCCCTGAGACTTCAGTTACCATTCTGGAAACTTCCGTGTAGAACAGGACTACGGGGTTCCTCTAGTATCTCATGACCCAGTGTTCTCTCTGTTATCTTCCCACAGGTGGAAAAAGAGGGAGCTATGCTCAGGCTGCAAGTAAGTTTGGGTTGGGGGTTGATCCCTGAGACCCTTGGGATAGTGTAGACAGGAGCCCATTGGGGAGCTCACCCAGCCCATAGCTCCTCCTTTAGTCTCCTCTCCTGTGGGCTCTGACCAGGTCTTGTTTTTGTTCTACCCCAGGCAGTGACGGTGCCCAGGGCTCTGACGTGTCTCACGGATCCTAAAGGTGAGCCCCTGGAGGCCCGAAGTTAGGGAGGAGTTGGGTCAGAGGGGACAAGACTGGGTTTGGGGATTCAATGGGACATTTTGAGGACGTAGTGGGTTATTGAGAATATCAACACTTATGTCCTGAATTTGTTCATGGTGATTTTCTTTCCTTGTGTGAGCTGGCTTGTTGGGGACTGAGTGATGCAATATTTGTTCACCCTCCCACTTTGTGACTTCAAGAACCCTGTCTACTTTTTCTGCAGCTGGCATCTGAGTGTGTGTGTGTTCCTATTAGCATAATGAGAGGAGGTGGAGAGACTGGCCCACTCCCCGCCTGCCCACCATGACCCGCCCACACACTGACCTGTGTTTTCCCCTGATGACTTTCCTGTTCCAGCGGAGGCGGGGCTGGGCCGTCTCCATCCCTGTCTTAACTTCCTGTTGCACCAAATAGTAATGATTACTTCCTTATTGAAAATGTGAGTCCAGATATGAATTTGTTTTTTCTAATTCTTGTCATAAGGGATTGTTGTGTTAATTAAAGGAGAAATTTCCTAAAGTTTGCCAGAGAAAATAAATGGAAGCACTGAGAACATTCCAGAATCCGTGTATTGTGCTGAGTCTGTTGCAAGTGGAGACAGGAAAAAGCTGAGAGGAGCCAGCCTGGACGGGGCCTGTGCCCAGTGGGTGCCCAGCGCATCGTGGGCTGTGATGTTGTCGTTCATCAGCTGGGTCATCCTCGCTGCTCCTTTGTTGTGGTCCCTTCAGTAGAATCCTGTCCCACCAGGACCTGTGATCACAGGGACTCGGAAATCACCTGGACGCTGTTGTGTCTTCAGGCTTCAGCACCGTGGGCAGCGAGGGCTTCGTGTGGTCAGCTCCGCCTAGGCCTGGGTCCGGCCCTCGTCCCCAGCATTGTGTGTGTTTAGATTTTGTTTCTTTGTGGAGACTTTGCTTTTGAGAGATGAATTTTCAGACTCATCCAGCTCTTCCCCTCCTTCTAGGGTTGTTTCCTGGATTCTTTCCACATTTTCTCCTTTTTTAAAGAAGCAGATTGTAGAATTAGCAGAGAGGAGAGATCCGATAGTTTCTCATCTGAGATAAATTCCGGTTGGGTTTCTGTCTTCTCTGCAGCCTGCGCCCCTCTCTTTGCCCTCAGCTGTAGTCATCCTAGTGCTGGCTCCGATCCAAACACATGGATTCACAAAGCAGAGACTACTGTAGATTCAAAGTGGGTTGGAAAATAGGACCCATAAGCCTAGGATTCTTTTTTCTAAAAAGGGAAATGTAATTGTGTGTGAGTGTGCGGGAGGGAGGGGAGAGCTGCGCTTGTGAGAAAAGTACAGGCGGCCTTGATGTCAGTGTGAGTGGATGTTGAGCTGTAGCTGCCACCGAACAGCATGTAGCCTGAGGCTACATTAATAAAGATACTGTCTCTAGAATAGCGAGGTGCTCTACGCTGATCATTCATTCAACTGATAATTGTTAATTTTGCATCTAGGAAACTTTAGTGAACTCAAAACAGGCAAAAACTGCCAGTCTTGTGGAGCATGTGTTCTCATGGGGAGGGGCAGACTGTATGCCGTAAGCATGGTGAGGAAGGCAGGTGTTTATGTGAGAAGTTGTAAGTGCTTTGAGGAAGGTGACCCAGAGTATAAGTGTGTGGGGACAGGGAAGGTGGCTGTGTTACTAGGGTGGTCAGTATCGGCCTCACTGGGAAGGGGACCTTGAGGAAAGATGTGAAGGACGTGATTTGTCCACAAGGATGTTTGAGAAAGTTCTTCGCAGGCAGGGGAACCTCAGTGCAAATGCGCTCGGGCAGAAGTGTGTCTGTGTGTCCTGGGAAGAGTGAGGGAGGTGGGTGAGTCTGGATCAGGGAGCAATTGAGATGCCATCCGAATTACACCCAAATCATGTAGACCTGGAGGAGATTGGAAGGTTTTGACTTTTCTGTAAGATGTGGAGTTAGAGGATGGTTTTGAACAGAAGATCGACCTGGTGTGACTTCTCTTGAGAAGCATCAGTGTGGTGCTGTGCAGAATCACGAGGTGAAGGGAGAGCACCCAGTGGAGAAAACTGTAGGAAACTCTTGCCGTGTTCCAGGCTAGAGATGGTAGTTGCTTTGTCTGGGGTGTGAGCAGGGACAATAACAAGAATTGTTTGCATTCTGGATACATTCTGAAGATGGGCTTTACGGCGTCTCCTAATGGATTAAATCTGGGTTATGAGAAAGAGGGTCAAGGAGGACACCCCAAATTTCAGATGTGCAAGTGGAAAGATAAGGAGTTCCTTCAGTGAAATTGGGGAAGACTTGTAGAAACACACTTGATGAAGCAGCGTCATAGACATCCAATTAGGAAATTTGAAACAGAGACATCTCTTATATGCAGGTGAGGTTAGTTCTAGCGGTTGGATATGTGAGTTTAGAGTTTAGGAGAAGTGTCTGGGCTAGAAAAGTAACTTCGGAGGTGATGCCATATAAATGATATTTAAAGCCTTGAGAACGGATGAGGTCACCAAAGGTTTAAAGACTGTAGAAGAGAAAGAAACAGGAACTGAACTCCGGGCCCCAGGCACTAAGGTATCTGGTCAGTCCACACACCCAGAGCAGACTGCACAGTTCTGACACCACATCTAGGAGGCATGGAGACTAGGGAGTTCCAGACTTTCCTGTGCACTGGAATCCCCTGGCCATCTCCTGAAGGTCTACACAGTCAGGAATAGAGGTGAGGTTCTGCATGTATAACCAGTTTGGTGTTGATGCTGCTGGTCTTCAGATCACACGTTTAGTAGGAAGAACATGGACCAGGATTCCCACATGGGAATCAGCCTCAGAGGCAGGCAGTGATTCTCGGGCGCTGTGCCCAATATTCTGAGATGGTGATTTTGGAGAGAGGCCTGCGTATTCTGTCACAAGCCCACAAGCAATCCTGGGGCTCAGTCAGATTGGGAAGCACTGATGCCAATGACCAGAGAGCGTTCAGGGTAGGGAGGGGTGTTAAATACACAATAAAATGTTTTTTCTTGTGAAGAAAAAGGCAAGACATATGATGAGAGACATATGTTTTCTCCACCATGGGGTATGGCCAGGTGGAAGATTGGGAAGTGGTTATTAGGTCAGCAAAAGAAAATCTCTGAGTTCCTAAGAGCGTTTCCAGGACACAGTGCAGGGAGGAGGAGCCCTAGCAGAGCCCAGGAGCTTTGCTGAGTTGAGGGGACAGAGTTGTGAATTGGGGGGCCCAGAACAGCCAATCGAAGGGAAAGCACATAGAGAAGACAGCTGAACAGAGAAGGCACTGGAAGTCTGCAGAGGGGTCCCCTCAAGTCTTCAGCTCATCAGTGCTTGCACACAAGGAAACTATCCCAGGACAGGAAAGACTAATCCAGAAAGATTACAGAGAATAATATCTAGTACTCTACAGGGATAGGAATAATGCCTGTCCCACCAGCCAGACTGGAAAACCTTACAATTTGCTGGGTGTTGCATAGAGTATTCAGAAGGGTCTTGTTTCAGTAGTGGGGAACAATTTGCCCTAATCTAAATATTGCCCTATTTGGCCTAACAAATATTAAAAGCAAGACCCAAAAGGATCTTCCAACTTCCAGATAATTTAATGTATCCCAGAAATAAAGGCAGAAGGATATTTGTGGAATGCATAAATGTCTAGTGCCTAATAAGGTAAAACCATAAATGTCTGGCATCAAATGAAAAGTAACTGGGCATACAAAGAAAAAAAGAAAATACAATGCATAAAGCAGAGAAAACAATCAACTTAAACCGAACTAGAACTGACACATTAGCATTAGCAGAAAATGACATTAAACCAGTTTGTAAATGTATTCCTTATGTTTATGAATTTAAATAAGAGATACAAAAGTGCATGAAAGACCAAAGTCATCCTTCCAGAGATGAAAATGTCTGATTTGAAATATACACTGAATGTGAGATGGGTTTAATGGTAGATTTCATATTGTAGAAGAAAAGATTACTGACCTTGAAGATGTAGCAATACAAACTCTCCAAAATTATATGCAGTAATAATTATTAAAAGTATTGTTGGATTTGTAATATATTTATATATGATTTGTATAACAAAACAGCCATAAAAGGAGGAAGTAGAAATTGAGCTATGGTCAGGTTTGTATACCTCACTGAAATTAAGTTGTTATAAATCTGAAGTGGATTTTGATAAGATAATGATATGGTAAACTCTAGAGTAACTACTAAGAAAATAACTCAAAAGTATAGTGAAAATTACTAAATAAGTATTATAGTATTAAAGTATTATAGTAGAAAATATGCACTTAATAAAAAGCAACCCATAAAAGAGGAATGGGGGGAATAGACATGAGATACATAGAAAATAAAAGTAAAATGGCATCATAAAGCCACTGTATCAATATTAACATTAAATGTAACGGAGTTTGGGGGCTGGCCCCATGGCCAAGTGGTTAAGTTTATGAAGTTTGTGTGCTCTGCCTCAGCAGCCCAGGGTTCACCAGTTCGGATCCTGGGCGCAGACCTACACACTGCTCATCAGGCCATGCTGTGGCAGCATCTCACATGGAAGAACTGAAATGACCTGCGGCCAGGATATACAACTATGTACTGGGGCTTTGGGGAGAGAAAAAAAGAGGAAGATTGACAAAAGATATTAACTCAAGGCCCATCTTCCTCACTAAGAAAAAAAAGCATATAAACGTCAACAAAATAAATAAAATAAAACTGAGTTAAAACAGTCTATCAAATCACAGATTGCTAGACTGAAAACGAAACAAGATACATCTATTCTGTCTACAGTAGACACACCTGAGATTCAAGTAACATAGATTAAAGTTAAAAGGATGGAAAATATATCTCAGGCAAACAGCAACCATAAATAGTTGGAGTAGCTTCACTGGTATCAGACAGGAGACTTAAATGCTAGTAAGACAGACAGGGACATTTTATAACAATAAAAGGGTCAATCCATCAGAAAGATAAAACAATTGTAAACATATATGCACCAATTACTGACCACCAAATACATGAAAACAAAATTGGCAGAAATTGAGAGAAATAAACAATCCAACAGTAATAGGTGGAGACTTCAGTATACCACTTTCAGTAATGAATAGAACAACTATGCAGAAGATCAAAAAATAACAAGAAGACTTTAGCAATGCTAAAAAACAAAAGTATAAACCTAATTGACCTCTATGGATCACTTCACCCAAGCACAGTAAAATATGCATTCTTCTCAAATGCACATGGAGCATTCCTCAGGATAAACCATATGCTAGGCCATAAAACAAACTTCAATAAGTTTAAAAGGATAGAAAGAATACAAAGTATGTTCTTTTATCACAGTGGCATGAAATTAGAAATCCACTAATAACAGAAAGAAATTGGGGAAACTCACAAATGTGGAAATCAAGTAACACATCACTACATAAGCAATGAATCAAAGAAGACATCAAAATGGAAATCAGATAATACTTTGAGATTCAGGAACATGCAGAGACGGCATACCAGAATTTATTGGATGCTACTAAAACAGTACTTAGAAGGAAATTTATAGACGTAATGCCTACATAAAACAGAAACATCTCAATTCAATTACCTGACCTTCCACCTTAAGTCAAAGGTAAAAGAGGACAAAACTAAGCCAAAAGCAAGATGAAGGAAGGAAAAAGTAAAGATTTGAGTAAAAATTAAGTAGAGAAAAGAGAACAGAGAAACAATACATAAAATTCACTAAATCCAATTTGGTCCTTTGAAAATCAACAAAACTGACATCTTCAACGAGACTCACTCAAAAAAAAAAAAAAAAAAAAAGAGATAGAAGACTCAGATTACTAGGGCCAGCAGTGAAAGAGAGGACATTATGACTAACCATACAGAAACGGGGAGAATTTAAGAGAATACTATGAACAATTATATGCCAAGAATTAGATTACTTAGGTAAAATAAATTCATAGAAAGATACAAACTACTAAAGCTGATTCAAGAAGTAGACAACCTTAATATACCTATAAGAAATCAGAAGACTGAATCAGTTATAAAAATTATCCATAAAAAAAGCCTAGGTCCCAATGGCCTCACTGATGAACTCTACGAAATATTTAAAGAAGAACTCAAAACAATTCTTTATAAACGCTTTCAAAAAGGAGAAGAAGAAGAAAGATCACCACGTCATTTCATGAGGCCAGTATTATTCAGATACCCAAACCAGCCAATGATATCACAAGAAAAGAAAACTGCAGGCCAATTATCTGTTATGAATATACACAGAAATCCTCAACAAAATATAGTAAGTCAAATCAAACAATGTACAGAAAGAATTATACACCATGACTAAGTGGAATTTATTCCAAGAATGTAAGGTTGGTTTAACATTCAAAAAAATCAATTAATGTAACACACTATATTAATATAATAAAAAACAAAAACCACATGCTTATCTCAATAGATGGAGAAAAAGCGTTTGTCAAAGTCTGACACCATTTCATGATTAAAAAAAAAAAACTCTCAACAAACTAGTAATAGAAGAGAATTTCTTCAATCTGGTTAAAGGCTTTTATGAAAACCCTAAAGCTAACATCATATTTAATGGTGAAAGAATGGTTGTTTTCCTCCTAAATCAGCAGTAAGATAAGGATGTCCACTCTCACCACTTCTACGCAACATTGTGCTAGAGGTTCCAGCCTGAGCAACTGTACAAGAAGATAAAATGTGCTCAAACTGGAAAGGAAAAAGTAAAACTATCTCTTTACAGATGACTGATCCTGTACACAGAAAACTCTAAGAAATTCACTAAAAAGCTATTAGAACAAATAAGTTCGACAAATTTGTAGGATATGATGGCAAATATACAAAAATCAATTATATTTCTATACAATAAATAATCCAGGAATGAAACTAAGAAGATATTCTGTTTACAACAGCATCAAAAAGAATAAATCTTAGGAATACATTTAATAAAGGAAGTGTAAAACTTACACTCTGAAAACTAGAAAATGTTGGTAAAAGAAATTAAGGAACATCTATGTAAATGGAAAAAAATTCCTGGGTTAGAAGAATTTTTATTATTAAGATGGCAATACTCCCTAAATTGATCTATAGATTCAACAGCCTATCAAATACCTAACTGACTTCTTGCTAGGAATGACAAACTGATTCTAAATTCAGATTGAAATTCAAGGAACCTACAATAGGCTACAATAGCCTTTGTCTTTGATAAGACAAAGAACAATGTAGGAGGACTCACAATTCTCAATTTCAAAACTTCCTACAGGGGCTGGCCTGGTGGCACTGCAGTCAAGTTCACACGTTCTGCTTCAGTGGCCTGGGGTTTGGTGGCCCAGATCTCAGGTGGGGACCTATGCACTGCTTATCAAGCCATGCTGTGGCAGGTGTCCCACATATAAAGTAGAGGAAGATGGGCATGGATATTAGCTCAGGGCCAATCTTCCTCAAACAAACAAACAAAAACTTGGTACAAAGCAACGGTAATCAAGACAGTGTGGTACTGGCATACGGATAGACATATGGATCAATGGAATAGAAGTGAGAGTTCAAAAATAAAACCATATGTCTATGGCAACTGACTTTCAACAGAGGTGCCAAGATCATTCAATGGGGGAAAGAATAATCTTTTCAACAAATGGTGCTGAGACAGCTGGACAGCTACATGCAAACTAATAAAGCTGGACACTCACCTTACACCTTATACCAACCTTAATATAAAATGGACCAAAGACCTAAACATAAGAGCTAAAACTATAAAACTCTTAGAATAAACCACAGGGGACAATCTATATGACCTCGGATTTGGCAATGATTTCTTTGATATGACACCAAAGGCACAGCCAACACAAGAAAAAATAGGCTAATGGGAGTTCACCAAAATTAACAACTTCTGTGTATCAAAGGATTATAGCAACAGTAAAAAGGCAACCACAGCATGGAAAAAAATATTTGCCAATCAAATGTCTGATAAGCAATTAATATCTCAAATATATAAAGAAATCCAACAACTCAATAACAAAAAGACAACCATATTTTAAAACAGGCCAAAGAATTGAAGAAATACATCTCCAAATAAGATATACAAGTGCCAGCATATGCATATATATCTGCTACATATACCATCCTAGTGGTGGGGTGTTTCATTGTGGTTTCCACTGATTAATGATGTTGAGCATCTTTTTAGATGCTATGATACACTTATGTGCCTGGTGGTTTCTAGGGTCTGAGGAAAGGGTGAATTGGGAGTTATCGTTCATTGGGAATATAGTTTCAATACAGGATGGTGAAAAAGTTGTGTTAAGATGGTTATATCTCCAAATTAATCTACAGATTCAATTCAATTTTATAAAAATCCTAGCTGGTTTCTTTGCAGAAACTGATGAGTTCATCTTAAAATTCGTGTGGAAATTCAAAAGACTAGATAAAACACTCTTGAAAAAGAAGAACAAAGTTTGAGGACTCACACTCCAGGTTTCAAAATTTACTACAAAGCTACAATAATCAAGACAGCGTGTTACCAGCATAAGGACGGACATATAGATCAACAGAATAGAATTGAGCGGTCAGAAATCAACCCTCACATTTATGGTCAGTTGAATTTCAAAAGAAGCGCCGAGACAATTCAATGAGGAAAGGTTAATCTGCTGACATGATTGTGTATCCACATGCAAAAGAATGAAGTTGCACCTTTACCTCTCACCATCTGAAAAAAAATTATCTCAAGGTAGATCAAAGACCTAAACATAAATGCTAAAACTATAAAACTCTCAGAAGACAATAAATGCATGAATCTTCTTGACATTGGACTAAGCAATGGTTTCTTAAATATGACACTGAAAATGTATGTAACAAAGGGATAATTACATTAACTGGACTTGATCAAATTTAAAACCTTTTGTGCTTTGAAGGACACCTTCAAAAAAGTAAAAATATAGCCCCAGACTTGGAGGAAATATTTGCAAATCATTTATCTAAGGAACTAGTCTCTAGAATATATAAATAACTCTTCCAGCTCAATAATAGAAAAAAACAACCAAATTAAAAAATGAGCAAGTGTTTGATAGACATTTATCCATGGGAGATATACAAATGGCAAATAAGCACCTGAAAAGATGCTTCACATTATTAGTCCTTAGGGAAATGCAAATCAAATCTATAACATAATACCACTTCACACTTCCTAGGATGGCTAGAATCAAAAAGACCAATATTAAGAAGTGCTGTGAGGTTGTAGAGAAAATGGAACCCTTGTAAACTACTGGTAGGAATATAAAATAGTGCTGCCACTTTTGAAAAGAGTCTGGCAGTTCCTTATAGTTTGAAAATAGTGTCGCCATATGACTCAGCAATTCCATTCCTAGGTATTTACCCAAGAGAAATGAAAACATATGTCCACACAAAAACTTGTACATGATATTCATGCAGCATTATTCATAATAGATAAAAGGTAGAAACAACTCAAATATCCATCAATTGATGAATAAATAAATAAAAGTGACATATCAATGCAGTGGAATACTATTTGGCAATAAAAAGAAATGAAGTACCAATGCATGCTATGGATGGAGGAAACTTGAATACATTAGGCTTCATGAAAGAAACAGAAAGAAAAGATCAAATGGATTCCTTGATTCCATTTATATGAAATGGCCATAATAAGCAAGTCCATATGCACAGAAAGTAGATTAGTGTGTTCCTAGAGAGGAGGGGAGTGTTGGAGGGAAATGGGGACTGACTGCTCAGGAATAAATGGTCATGGGGAGATGAAAATGTTCCAAAATGGATTATGGTGATGGGTGCACAGCTCTGCGAATATACTAAAAAAACAGTTCTTCTTTTTTAAATGGTTGAATTACATGTGTTAATTATATCTCAATAAAGCTGTTCTAAGAAAAAGTGATGGCCCACGTTAAATCAAGTAGAGATGCCAGAAATGCCATGGCAGACTGAAGAGAAAGAAAAGGCTCAGAGAAGTGGGCATGCTAGTATGAATCTACTCTACGAAACTGGAAAACCACCAGGTGACTGTTTTCCTTGGAAGGGCCCAAAGGATGCTCTGTTTATCAGGCGATGAGGAATGAGCAGGTAAGCAGAACATCAACCTCATTGTTTCTGTTCTTCATAGGCTGGGGCTGACTCTAGGAGATAATATCACAGAACTAGGCTCCCTAGCATCAGTGGGGATAATAGGATCCCAAAAAGTCAGAGACCAGGTGGCAGCAAGTTAGAAACAAAGGAAAAATTGCCAAAATAGCCAGTAATGACAGAATGGAAGCCAGGAAATTCTGACTGCAAGGGCTTTATGGAAATACCTCATAGACCAAAGTATTTCTAGAGGGGCAGCCAACAAGAGTATTGCTTAATATTACACTTAACAGATCAAGAATGAATATGTTGGAGGCTGAGATAAGTTGCCCAACAGAAAATTACAATCCCTTGCCCAGTTTCCAGACCTGAGCCAATCCTCGCATCCAGAACCCGCTGGTTGAGTGAGAGCCTCTGTCCCCTGAGGAAGAACCCTACAGCACCATGGGAACTGTGTACACTAGTGATTCCCCAAGTCCTTCCATAAAGGTACTCATGGTCACTCACTCAGGGCTCCAGACAGGAAGAAAAGAGAATCTTTAGATACTTTTTACGTCTATCGGATGCATTGTCCAACTTGACACTGATACCTGGGGAACCAAAGCACGATCATGAAACCTCATTAGAAGAGAGGCATATGCGGAAGAGAAAATAATTTGAGTCATATCTCAGATCTACCCAAATCTCAGTGGGCTCTCTGTGTCTACACATCTATTTGATGGTCATTTCCCCAGTTTCCAAATATATAATTGCAGTGGATATATTTAGAGTTGGCAAGAAGCCTCACATGGGTTCTTTGACCTGTGGAGTATGAGGTTTTCAGTAAGAAAGGCCAAGTGGAAGCCCCTGAAAGAGTCCCCTAACCTCAGACAAGACAGAAAATTAAGACAATATTGTATCTTGGGGGTAATGGAAGAGGTTAATGTCATCCTCAATGACTGAAAGGATGCAGCAGTGTTGGTCCCCTCACACACCCATCAGTTCACCATTGTGGTTCTTGCAAAAACTGGATGGATCATTGCCAATGATAGTGAACTACTAAAAACTTAATCATTGATTAGCACCAATTATAGCAGCTGTGTTGAATGTAATATCTTGGGGCTGGCCCAGTGCCATATTGGTTAAGTTCGGCACACTCCACTTTGGCAGCCCTGGGTTCGCAGTTTCAGATCTCAGGCGTGGACCTACACCACTCATCAAACCATGCTGTGGCAGCGACCCACACACAAAATAGAGGAAGATTGGTGCAGATATTAGCTCAGGGCCACTTTTCCTCACCAAAAAAAAAAAAAAAAACCAACAACGAAAGAAAGAAAAAAAGTTGGTTATATTTGCATGAGACAAATAAATCTATACTTTCTGTTTTCCCAGGGCTATGTGACTTCTCCTGCTCTCTATCGTAATGTAGAAAGAAGGAATTTGTATGGAACCACAAAAGACCACAAGTAACCAAAGCAATCCTGAGAAAAAAAAGAATGAAACTGAAGGCATTACACTTCCTGATTTCAAACTATATTACAAATCTATAGTAAACAAAATAGTATGGTACTGGCATAAAAATAGGCATATAGACCAATGGAACAGAATCTAGATCCTGTAAAGAACCCAAGTGTGGTATAATGAGAAATAGATTTAGACTTTTTTCCTGGTTCCTGGCACAAAGCTCCTAAAACCCATGGAATTTCCTAAGTGATAGGAATGTCTTTTTTTTTTTTTTAACTTTTTATTAAGATTATGATAGTTTACAGCCTTGTGAAATTTCAGTTGTACATTATTGTTAGTCATGTTGTAGGTGCACCACTTCACCCTTTGTGCCCTCCCTCCACCATCCCCCGCCCGTTCCCCTGGTAACCACCAATCAGTTCTCTTTGTCTATATGTTTAACTTCCACCTATGAGTGGAGTCATACAGAGTTCGTCTTTCTCTATCTGGCTTATTTCACTTATAATACCCTCAAGGTCCATCCATGTTGTTATGAATGGGAGGATTTTATCCTTTTTTATGGCTGAATAGTATTCCATTGTGTGTGTGTGTCTGTGTGTGTGTGTGTGTGTGTGTATATATATATATATATATATATACACACACCATATCTTCTTTATCCAATCATCAGTTGATGGGCACTTAGGTCGCTTCCATGTCTTGGCTATTGTAAACAATGCTGCAATGAACATTGGGGTGCATGGGACTTTTGGAATTGCTGATTTCAAGTTCTTTGGATAGATACCCAGAAGTGGGATGGCTGGGTCATAAGGTATTTCTATTTTTAATTTTTTGAGGAATCTCCATACTGTTTTCCATAGTGGCTGCACCAGTTTGCATTCCCACCAACAATGTATGAGGGTTCCTTTTTCTGCAAAACCTTTCCAACATTTGTCACTTTTTGTTTTGGATATTTTTGCCATTCTAACAGGTGTAAGGTGGTATCTTAGTGTAGTTTTGATTTGCATTTCCCTGATGATTAGTGATGATGAGCATCTTTTCATGTGTCTATTGGCCATCTATATATCTTCTTTGGAGAAATGTCTGTTCATGTCCCCTGCCCAGTTTTTGATTGGGTTGTTTGATTTTTCGTTGTTGAGCTGTGTGAGTTCTTTATATATTATAGAGATTAACCCTTTGTCGGATAAACAATTTGTAAATATTTTTCCCCGACTAATGGGTTGTTTTTTTTGTTTCAATCCTGTTTTCCCTTGCCTTGAAGAAGCTCTTTAGTCTGATGGAGTCCCGTTTGTTTATTCTTTCTATTGTTTCCCTCATCTGAGGAGTTATGGTGTCTGAAAAGATTCTTTTGAAACTGATGTCAAAGAGTGTACTGCCTATATTCTCTTCTAGAAGACTTATTCTTTCAGGTGTAATCTTTAGGTCTTTGATCGATTTTGAGTTTATTTTTGTGAATGGTGAAAAAGAATGGTCAATTTTCATTCTTTTACGTGTGACTTTCCAGTTTTCCCAGCACCATTTGTTGAAGAGATTTTCTTTTCTCCATTGTAGTCCCTCAGCTCCTTTGTCGAAGATTAGTTGTCCATACATGTGTGGTTTTATTTCTGGGCTTTCAGTTCTGTTCCATTGATCTGTGCACCTGTTTTTGTACCAGGACCATGCTGTTTTGATTACTGTAGCTTTGTAGTATGCTTTGAAGTCAGGGATTGTGATGCCTCCAGCTTTGTTCTTCTTTCTCAGGTTTGCTGTAGCAATTCGGGGTCTTTTGTTGCCCCATATGAATTTTAGGATTCTTTGTTCAATTTCTGCAAAGCATGTCATTGGGATTCTGATTGGGATACCCTTGAATCTGTAGATTGCTTTAGGTAGTATGGACATTTGAACTACGTTTATTCTTCCAATCCATGTGCATGGAATGTCTTTCCATCTCTTTATGTCGTCATTAATTTCTTTCAGGAAAGTCTTGTAGTTTTCATTGTATAGGTCTTTCACTTCCTTGGTTAAATTTACCCCAAGGTATTTTCTTCTTTTTGTTGCAATTGTGAGTGGGATTGAGTTCTTGAGTTCTTTTTCTGTTAGTTCGTTGTTAGCGTATAGAAATGCTACTGATTTATGTATGTTGATTTTATACCCTGCAACTTTGCTGTAACTGTTATTTCTAATAGTTTTCCTATGGATTCTTTGGGGTTTTCTATATATAAGATCATGTCATCTGCAAACAGGGAGAGTTGCACTTCTTCATTGCCTATTTGGATTCCTTTTATTTCTTTTTCCTGCCAAATTGCTCTGGCCAACACCTCCAGTACTTTGTTGAATAAGAGTGGTGAGAGTGGGCACCCTTGTCTTGTTCCTGTTCTGAGAGGGATGGCTTTCAGTTTTTGTCCGTTGAGTACGATGTTGGCTGTGGATTTGTCATATATGGCCTTTATTATGTTGAGGTACTTTCCTTCTATACCCATTTTATTGAGGGTTTTTATCATAAATGGATGTTGGATCTTGTCGAATGCTTTCTCTGCATCTATTGAGATGACCATGTGGTTTTTGTTTCTCTTTTGTTAACATAGTATATCATGTTGATTGACTTGCGGATGTTGAACCATCCCTGTGTCCCTGGTATAAATCCCAGGAATGTCTTTTGTTACTCATAAGGACCCCCTTTTTGACGCACCTGAGAGTATACACATGAGATAACTTAGGGTGAGGCCCCTAGATAGACTCAGGATGGTGCTGGTCACCAAGAAGAACAATTGATTAGAGAGTTGGAACTTTCAGCCCCACCTACTAACCACTGGGAAGGTGGGGGTGCTAGAGATCAAGCTCTATATAAACTCTTGGACAAAAAGATTGGATGAGCTTCCAGGTTGGTGAATGCAGCCATGTACCAGGAAGATGGCACACTCCAGTTGCACAATGAGAGGAGCTCTTGTGCTGAGAACCTATCTTTATGTTTCTGTTTATCTGGCTGTTCATATGTATCCTTTATAATATACTTTATAATAAACTGGTAAACATAAGTAAATGTTTGTCTGAGTTCTTTGAGTGGCTCTAGCAAATTAATTGAATTTGAGGATGGGTCCTGAGAAGCTCTGATTTATAGCCAGTTGTTCAGAGCACAGGTAGCTACCCGGATTTGGAATTGGTCTGCGAAGTGAGGGCACTCTTATGGGACTGAGTCCTTAATCTGTGGGATTTGATGCTATCTCCAGGCAGAGGTGTCAAACTGAATTAAAATGAAGGGAATCCAGTCGCTGTCCACTGAGAATTGGAGAATTGCTTGTTGTTGTCAAATAAACATATTGGACTATGCATGCACAGTCAATTAATATCTCACAAGGGAGCCAAGAATACTCAATGGAGAAAGGATAGTCTCTTCAATAAATGGTAATGGGAAAACTGGATATTCACATGCAGAAGAATTAATTCAGACCCCAATCTTATTTCACTTACAAAAATTAACTCGAAATAGATTAAACACTTAAATGTAAGACCTGAATCCACAAAACTCTTAGAAGAAAACTTAGAGAAAATCTCTTTGACATCGGTCTTGGCAATGACTTTCTGGATACGACAACAGAAGCACAAATAACAAAAGCAAAAATCAACAAGTATGGCTACATCAAACTAAAAAGTTCTGCACAGCAAAGGAAACCATCAATAAAATGAAAAGGCAATGTATGGAGAGGGAGAAACATTTGCAAACTATGTATCTGATAACGGATTAATATTCAAAATATAGCAGGGACTCATAGAACTCATTAGGAAAGATACCCCCCTCCCCAAATAATCTGATTTAAAAGTGGGCAAAGGACCTGGATAGACATTTTTCCCAAGAAGACTTCTAAATGGACAACAGGTACATGATAAAAGTGCTCAACATCACTAACAATCAGGGAAATGCAAATTAAAACCATTAAGAAATGTCACGTCACATCTCTTAGAATGACTATTGTCAAGATAACAAGTGTTGGTGAGGATGTGAAGAAAAGGGACCCAGTATGGACATTCCTCAAAAAATAAAAACTAGAACTACCATATGGTCCTGCAATCCCGCTTCTGGGTGTCTATCTGAAGAAAATGAAATCACTGTCTTTGAAGAGATATCTACGTGCCTATGTTCATTGTAGCATTACTGGTAACAACCAAGCCATGGAAACAACATAAGTGTCCTTGAAAGAATGAATGGATGAAGAAGCTTTGGTGTATGTATATATAATGGAATGTGATTCAGCCATAAAATGATGGAAATCCTGTCGTTTGTGACAACATGGATGGTCCTTGAGGGCATTATGCTAAGTGAAATAAGTCAGACAGAGAAATATACACACTGTATTATGTAACTTATATGTGGACTCTAAAAAGGCTGAACTCAGGGAAAGGGAGAGTAGATTGGTGATTGCCAGGGGCTGGGCATGGGGGAAATGGGTAATGTTGGTCAAAGGGTACAAACTTCCAGTTAGAAGACAAATAAGTTCTGGGATCTAATGTACACCATGTTGACTATAGTTAACAATACTGTATTGTATACTTGGAAGTGGCTAAAAGAGTAGATCTTAAATGTTCTGACCACACACACACACATACACACAAACACACACACACACACAGGTAACTATGTGAAGTGACAAATGAGTTAACTTACCTTATTGTGGTAATCATTTTGCAAAATATATATTTATCAAATCATTATGCTGCACATCTTAACTTTCACAATGTTATATGTCAATATATCTCAATAAAGCTGGGGGTAAAAACATTTAGAAACATAGGAGATAATTTATGTTTACCAGTAAAGAATATTTTCCTGAAAAAAGAAGGGACCAGGCCCTCTGGACATTCTACAGAACACCACATTGGTCAGTACATTGATAACATCATGTCATTAGACTCTGATGGCAAGAACTGGAATGTACTCTGATGTTTTGGTTACATGAATGCATACCTTGGTAGGTAGTTAAAACAATTCAAGACTCAGAGGGCTGCTACAGTGGTAAAGTTTGAGGGATCCAGTGGTCTGGGGCATGATGGGACATCCTCTCAGAAGTAGAGGACAGGTTATTGCACTTTGTACCTCCTGCCACTAACAAAAGAACCCCACATTTGGTAACTCTCTTCGGGTGTTAGAGGCAGCATGTTCCATACTATCACAATATTGTTCTGACCCATATATCAGGTGACATGAAGCGGTGCTGGTTTTGAGTGGAAGCATGTCCAGGCTATACTAAGTAGAGGTTACAAGATGGCCTTGCTACTTAGGCCATCTGACACAGC